GCTAATTTTCACATTTGAATGAACAATGTAGAAAAAATATGTAAGCTAAATCTCCAATTTTGCACATCAAGTGAAGAATAATTATCTTCATAATTAACTCTTCTAAATCTATACATCCCCTTAAGTACCAAGCAAAAGGCCATTCTCATCTATCTGAAGGGTTTCCCAGATAATAGTATCCATTAAGTTTCCCATATGACTCCAGCATAATCAGTTGAAATTGAAAACACCTTTAGGATCTAGAGTACCAGAAACAAAAAAATTCTCTATGCCATTGCCTGCCCCCTACCTTGTCCTGCCTGGGATCTCTCCGCTATGAACTCATGGTTCAAATGGTCCAGGACATGCTTGAGAAAGTCATCCATGTTGTCAAACACGTCCTCACAGGTGCCCCACTCACAGGAGAGAGTAAGAGGGTCGTTCTTATGGGGAGGCTGAATCTGGCGTTTTAGTTTCTTCTTTGGGGGCATGGTCTGAAATTGTGGAAATATGTTGGCATTATAAACTTACCTAATGATTATTTATGATTGCTTTAAATCACAGGAATTAATTTGCAACCTTTTATAACCTGTTTTAGCAATGTTCATCATACAAGAGTTTTGGGTACTTACATAGTACAGTATATTCTTAGTCTTTGATTCACCTTGCCTCAGTTTTCGGTCTTACATGCTCACGAAGACTGAGGCAAACTTGAACCGCCATATTCAACTCGCTTAGTCCATAAAATGGACTCCCTTTCAAGTTTTATTGAATAATAGCGGTTCATTAGACTGCCATTTTCCCTCTTACCTTTGTAAAAAAACAGCGAGCAACACCTGCTTTATTGTTTTACGTCTTTTCTGCGTAAAAGACAAGTAGCCACTCTTTCTTATGACTGGAGGCTCGAAATTGCGGAAATCGAATGCGGCGGGACATCAGCCCCGCACTTAATGCAGGTGTCGTGATCAGAAGTTTTAAAAATTAAAGCTGACATTTTTGGTGCTGTTTTTACTCATGAGATATTTTCGTAAATATATACTTCGAAAAAAAGATCGTACGATAATTCTTTTTTTACATTTTCGGATGGTCATTGACTGCCTGTGTGTGTGTGTGTGTGTGTGTGTGTGCGTGCGTCAGAGAATACTTTTTAAACGCAACATCGTTGTTCCTCTTAACAACCTTTAACCTCCCCCGTGGCCACATGAAAAAAATAGATTATAGAAAGACAAGTTTCTAAAAATAGTTTATTTCATAGAACAAGTCCTTTTGAAGATGATAGATCTCTGAAATCTAGAAAGGCTAAACTGGCTTTATTCTGTCATACCAGGATATAATTCCCTGGTCATACCAACAAGACTTAATTTTACTAATATTTAATATTTGTAAATCAGCATTGTCCTTATATCCCGACATGTTCTTCTATTACATACACAATTAAATCTGTTATTCTGCTTATGGAAAACTTTTTTTAATTATTGTTCTATATGCTACTAGAAGTTCCATAACCATGCCCCAATCCACCGTCTCGTGCTGCCATCTATTTGGACCTAAGCTTCCAAACATAATCCAATATCAGACTAAGATAACTGCTACAGTAAACATGGATTTATTGTAAACCAACCATTTGTAAACCGCTCTTTGACTTACTACATGGTCTCAAATAATCCAAAAAGCCAGGCAGTTGTTTATTTAATTTAAGCAGTCTTTTTAAGCTAAGCCATAATTAATTGTTGGTCTAATTTGTTATGATCAACCCAGGCACCTGCCCCAAGCCTTGCCGTAACTCTGTTACTCAAGAGTAATACAGCATATCATATGAGATATAGTTACAGCAATTAATGAACAAAATATACATAACTGAACATTGTAAGACTATAGGATATTTGTAAACAAAATATTTGACATAAAAATATATAACTACTTAATTTTTTATGTTGAGAAAAAGTTTAACATGACAAAAAGAGCAACTGAAAATAAATACTATTCTCTTAATAATGAGGTACAAGTGTGGAGACAATTACAGTGGAGACAGTTACAGATATCATATATATATATATATATATATATATATACACACACACACACTAGTTATCATCATCACATCAATGTAAAATGAGAGATTCTTCTGAGATTCTAATTTTGTAAAAAAAAAAAAACAATCTTACAACAAAAAATCATGGGAATGTTTTCAAGGTGTGGACAACTTGTTAGTATAAGACTTGTCATATAGAGTTATCAAATGAATTTATGAATCACTGCCAACCTGAAAGAAATTCATTCTTAAATGGGAATGAATTAGGCCAAGTGACAAAACTGACAATGTGAAATGAACTGAGAGCCTTGCAATTGGAGACTGTTAACGGTTCATTTAACAAATCTTGATTTTCAATACAGCAGTACTGGACATTTTGACATGTATATGTTACATTTTGCAATTGACATTGTAGTCCCTTGGAGAGTATACAAATAGAAATACATTTGATGCCAAATAAATAATCATCATCTCTATAAATTCATTGTCAATAACATAACTATATAACTTCTAAAACTGTGCAAATGTAAGACTTAATTGGCTGTTATTTGTAAGCTTTCATGTAAGATTCCTTGTGCGAACTATGCAAATACGATGTAAGACTTGGCTGTTTATTGTAAGCTTTTATGTAAGATCCCTTGTGCATGCACATTTTTACATTTTATAAAAAGGTACCTCTTCAGAACAAAAATGGCAAACAGATGCAGGTGCTAGCCCTCTTTTTCTAAGAAAATAAGAATTGGTCCACTGCAACCCTCAACAAGCAGGCTTCTAAGAGTGCATTCACAACAGCAGACAAACGAGTCCGTGGATCAAATATGGCTGACCCACTTGAATACTTGTTGCGTAATCCCCGCAGGGAATCTATTAAGTGTCTAATCAGGAATTTAGTTATCTCGTTGTCCATTTAAATATGTATATATAAATTTACAAGTATATAATTTGCCATTCAACTATTAATCCCAGGTCCAACTACATATCACTTGAAGGGGCTCCAGTTCCAACTCCTCCCTCCCTTATACTCTCCAGCTCCAAGTTTTCTCAGTTTAGCATCATTTCCTTTCTTAACGTGCAGAGCAATATTTGTCAAGAATTATACTCTTCCCTATAATACAAACAGTCTATATATATATATTACTTATTTGTTGAATTTGACCATTCAATCAAAGCCTCAGTTGAAACATAAGAGCTATTCCGCACCTGGTTAATGTCATAACAGTAACCCATTTCCTCTGCATCACTACACCGAAATGCGGACCCATCCACGATGCTTTTAAGAACCAAGACAAGCCCAACAACAGAAAATGCAATCCCGGTGATGGCTACTATGGTTGGGAAAATATTTTTTATTTGGAGTATTTTGTCTCCGTTATCATGGGAAATCTTCATATAACTCAAACATGGCAGGATGAAGCACATTGGTATTGCAGCTAGCGCACCCTGGTGAGAGAGGAAATAGAAATTCATTCTCAATTTTATTCTTTAGATGTACTTTCACTAGACTAAGAAATGACTTTAAGAAGAAAAACAGACAACTGAAGCAGCTTGTACTAAAATTTGTGAACAATCTATCTTAGTTCAGTTTTTATTTCTTTATTCCTTTCATTCACCAAAACAGTAACTTAAAATGCATAAAGATATTTAGTGTTTTAACATGCATTTTACCCTAATATTTGGAAAACTACACATACAAAGTATAGGACTTACATTCAACTCCAAGACAATCCCTAGGCAGTTAGTCACCATGGAGATTCCCCCTGTTGCTAGGACAAGAGCCAATGTCACTAGCATATGGCGTAGCAGGGTTGCAGGTTGCTTAGCACCAAACAGCAGATTTTCTATCACCTGCAAAAAGGAGAATGATATATGCAGAATTGTGACAAAATCTTTATTTACACAAAAATATTTCAAAAGCATCAGATATTTGTGACTGGACTTGTTGATAATAGCTATTTCATGTAGAATTATCTAACTGCCACAAACAGGTTCCACTAACAGAAGTAATATAAAATAATTTTCAGGAAAAACATAAATAAAGTTAAGAAACATTTGATCAGCTCTCACAAAGTTATGGTTACTTCACATAATGTTGGCCCCTGATTTAAGGCCTAAGCTTATCTGAATTTTTTTCTTTTTGTGTGCTTGTTCTAAATTGTTTATTGCATTTTTCAGTAAAAAATGTTGAGATTGTTCTTATTATTTGACTGACTACATTTCTTTTACTTCCTTTGCTATTTCCCTGACAAGCAAAATCCATTTCCATTGGCAGACTCTGTCACTTACCTCTCTTGTAACAAAGCATTCTATTGGATAAGTCAGCATAACACTAAAGGTAAATATCAGCCTTGTTACATTCGCATAGTCATCAGAGTAACAGTAGTTTTCTAATAAGTCCCCTGAAATGTCACAGATAATAATAAAACAATGAAATAAAATAGTATTTGAATAAATGAATATCAATGGACAACTGGATAAATAAATGATGGAAAGAAGGAAAATATGGTTATTAATATAAAACATTTTGTTCCCCAACAACTTATCTTGAATAACAAAACAATCTAAATATAAAACTATGCTTAATTCTACATTTCTTCAAGATATCTAAAATTTAATTAAAGATATCTACAATTTAATTTAAAAAAGTCAAAAATAGGTCTAAGTTCAAACTCAGACTGCTAAGAATTTTAGCCAGTAAACTGAATTTCACAATGAATCTAAATGGCTACATAATTTGATTTATATCTTTTAATTTAGCCCCTAAAGTTAGGTGTTTTGTTGGTGAATGCCCATATAAGTGAACCAATGACACAAATGGTGAAGAAGCTTTAATGAAATGATATTGCACTGTAGGATTAAAACAGATCCCATATCTTCAGCCTGAAAAAAGCCCAAAGAAACTAGTCTTCCAACCTTGGGTATATCCCATGAAAGTGATGTACCAAAACAGGCCCTAGTACACCTACCTTGGGTATATCCCATGAAAGTGATGTACCAAAACAGGCCCTAGTACACCTACCTTGGGTATATCCCATGAAAGTGATGTACCAAAACAGGCCCTAGTACACCTACCTTGGGTATATCCCATGAAAGTGATGTACCAAAACAGGCCCTAGTACACCTACCTTGGGTATATCCCATGAAAGTGATGTACCAAAACAGGCCCTAGTACACCTACCTTGGGTATATCCCATGAAAGTGATGTACCAAAACAGGCCCTAGTACACCTACCTTGGGTATATCCCATGAAAGTGATGTACCAAAACAGGCCCTAGTACACCTACCTTGGGTATATCCCATGAAAGTGATGTACCAAAACAGGCCCTAGTACACCTACCTTGGGTATATCCCATGAAAGTGATGTACCAAAACAGGCCCTAGTACACCTACCTTGGGTATATCCCATGCAATGTGATGTATCCAAACAGGCCCTAGTACACCTACCTTGGGTATATCCCGTGAAAGTGATGTACCAAAACAGGCCCTAGTACACCTACCTTGGGTATATCCCATGAATGTGATGTACCCAAACAGGCCCTAGTACACCTACCTTGGGTATATCCCGTGAATGTGATGTACCCAAACAGGCCAAACACCAGAGAGGCCACCATGGAGGAACCAACGCTGATGTGGACCACTTTGTTCCAACACTGCTGAGTTGGTTCTTTCAAGGAACGGAAGATGAGGAATGAGTTGTGGTGGCAAAGGTAAGCTGAAAATTTTAATGTAAATAGATGTTGAATTTATTCAAAAAGTTCATCTTTATGTAGAAGATTTGAACCATTGGCAATAGTGGTTTGCATGGGAAAAGAAGCCATTTTGCAGAAAATATTTACCATTAATCTGGAATTAGAAATACGGTTGACAGCCATCAGCAACCCTAGCAAAAGCAACTAGCACAATCAACACAATATCATAGTAGAACAACCAGCACAATCCACACAATGTCATGTCCAACTTACCAGTAGTAATTATACCCATTGCCTGCACGATTCCATCTTCAGCAAATATCCAGGCATCATCTGTTTTGGGCACTTCCCTTGCCATAGTCACAGCACGTACCATTATAAACACAGTCACAAAACTGATAGAGAGGATAGCACAGGCAGAAAACTGAAAGAGAAAGTAAAATAAACGCATTTCTGAACTAAGTACTGAATCCAAAGAAAGAGTAAGACAGCAGCATTTTAAAAATTAACAAAATGACATCAAGTCCATTTCTTGTTGATATAAGTTTTTTTATATGAAAACATGGCAAAATTCAATGCATCTTAATTTGCAATTTGGGAAAGTGCTTTTTTCATTACTTTGAAATATTATATGTATTCTGATAAAACCCATACCTTGCTGAGTTTAGCTATGTTCCTGTAGCAAGACAAAGGCATGGAGATAAATATTGTAAACAAGAAGAGAATGAACTGTCTGTTACCCAGGACGGAATTCTTCACAGATTCTGAAAAAAAGTCATTATATAATATTACTAAAACAAAAAATGTATATCAAGGTAGATTTTAAATAAACAGATTTGTGACAAAAAATTAAAACAATACAAATGAGTTTGTTTATTACTTATCAAATTCTTAAAAATATTAGTAAAACAGAATGAAGTCTTTAAAAGAAAAGAAGTGAACACTATTTGAAATTCTGAAAAAAAAAAGTATGTCGTTTCATTATGTGTATCTTATAACAGTTGATATCATTCATTGCTTTCTATCCTTGACTTCCTATAGTAATTTAAATTTCACTATCTGCAACTTTTTTTTTAAAGATGCATACGAAGTTAATTTTTTGTCACAAAAACCAACCAAATGCCAGCATATAGTTTCAAGTAGTATAACTAAGAGAATTACCAAAAGGCGTTGTTTAATTTTACCCGAAAATGATGTTTGAACAGATTTTTCTGCTGGCATTCTAAGCTGTATGTCAATGGGGCAGGAAAGTAGGCCACAGAAGTAGGTTAACCGACATGAAATAAAATTTATTGTATTGTATTGTATTGTATTGTAGGTTAAATTTATAACCAAAAATTTAAAGAAAGGAGCAGTCTAAAGGTTTTATATGGCTGATTGAGTGATCTATTCAGTTTATTCCTTGGCATGTAGAATTTATTTGAGTCATATAAGAATCTAGTAGAAGTGGTTTACATGTGTTACTGGGAATCCACGCTCCACCCATGCTCGGTTCGTATGTACCTTTAAAAAAGGTTGCACAACATCGGAACATTTAATCATTCTTCAAACAAAAGTGAATTAATTCAATAACTGATTCTGCAAAAAATAAAAATAAATTAATTTTGAAAACAAAAAAGAGTTGTTGTTGTTTACTCACCAGAAGCAGTCCTGTATACAATCTTCTCAATGGTGTCCCCTGCTATGATATTGTAGCTGGTCATGGCTGTAAGAAGCAAACAAAAATAATTTAATCTAAGAATATATCACCTCTTACATGGTCAATAAGTACAGGTGTATCCATGGTTATCTGTTCTGAATGCGCTCTGGGTCACTGTAACACCCAACACATTTAACCCAATGTCACAACTAAGGGACCATTCCCACAGATATTTGGATCAATATATCTCCCTGGGGAGTCTCACTCAATTGCTATCAACCTAACTGGCTTAAATGTCTGTCACGCCTACCAAATCAGCTAGGGGGTAAATATAATTACCCCCTAACAGCTTTACTAGGCGTGACAGACATTTAAGCCAGTTAAGCTGATAGCAATTTAATAAGACTCCCCAGGGAGTTAGACCGATCCAGATGGATCAATCTAGGCATGGGAACCCAGTCTTACACACTCACCTAAAAAAGGATTTGCAAACTGAAGCAGAGAGATAAGATAGAAGCCAGGACGACCAAATGCCACCTGCATTACATCCTGGTATGTTGATGTCTTGGACTGCAGGCCAGCTGCTATAAGAAGTTGTAAGGAATAATCTGAAATATAAAAATATTACAAATATAAATCAAATAGTGTGTGTGTGTGTGTGTGTGTGAGGTATATAAAACAGTGACAATTAACAAGGTGCAAAATCAAGATATAAATGTAAAACATATGTTCTAGTATGTTCCAAGATTTTAGTTCAGAAATAAAGATACACACAAAAAGATATTTAACAGTAACAAAGAATAACCCAAAAACATGAAGATACATTCATTTGGGCTTATAAAAATACTGAATGGTATTGGATTTGGCCTCACAAACTTTTTTTGCGACAGTACCAGTATATATGTCAATCCATACATATATATATATATATATCATAAAAGCTATAGAAATTTATTTATATGAAATGCAGTATGGCACGATTCAATTCAGCTGGCTAAATCTTACCAGTAAGGACTCCAACTACTATGATGAGTAGAACAGCCATTCCTATACCACCTTCTTTTAATGCAAATGGCATGCCTGAAAAAAAATAACGTAAGTATGGTTTTATCATTTAAATTATAAGTTTTCAACAAATGTGTAAGTTTTACAAGTAATTTTTTTTTAATCAAGCAACTGATGGACTGCACTTTTTTACAGAACCTTATCTAAAATATTTGTCTGTCTAAAGGGGAAATAAAAAGCACTGTTAACAGGCAATTTAAGTCATATTTTAGCCATCTACCTTTACGAATTGACATTTTACCACAACAAGTCAGATAAAATGTTTAATATTAGATGATACTGACACAAGGCATAAATCTAGAAAAAACCTACCCACTATTCCTGATCCAATGATAGAGTTAATTACATTAAGAACTGCAGCAGGCACACTGCTAAGTTTCTCAATGGGTTTAACTTCTTCATTGGATTCTGACAGCAAAGTGGGCTCCTCTTGGCTTGGTCCACTCTCCAGGGGACTCTGTCCTCCACTCACTAGAGGGCGCTGATCATCGTCACTGGAAGCAACAGAGTGTGCAGGGGAATTCTGTAAAGTAAATGAAAGCTTTTATGTCAATTTTTTTTCACACGAAAGGGCAATATGTCTAAGACAAAAACAACTTTAAGGGGCAACTTTGAGCTATCACATTCAGTTCCACTATCTAACCCTCATTTACTGCAAAAATAATCTGAAAAATCCACATATCAAAGGTACACTCTGTATACTGAATATATGTACACTTTATCCCACAGCCACCGCTTTGAAGAAAAGGATAATGGTACTTGTTTTTTACTTTCATGCTTGCCCATATTTTCATACCCTTTGGTGCATTTCATCCTACTGTTCGAAGCACCAGCCATGGATTAATTCAGTCAAACTACTTGTCATCCACTGCATGTGACAAACAAGAGCAAATCATATCTTGGCTGCTCTGCATTATAATTACGTTCTTGTATGTCCCATACAGTAGACAACTTGTGTTGTAACCAGTTACATATACGTACGCATATGCGACTTCTAAGTTTAGTTTCTCTCTTGTTGAGAAGGATTATGGGCTATAACTATAAGTTACTATAAGTAACTGTCTCGCGCTGCCAGTAATTACGCGGCGGGATATTCAGGGCACAGACCGTGATCATAAGATAGCGCGAATAGAAAATAGAATTTAGAAAATAGACATTGCAAGTGAACGAAGCCTTAGACTGGACCTGCCAATTGGCAGCGCCTGAGCAGTTATGCAAACAATTACCAGCCATGTAATCAGCCTTGAGATTCCATTACAGGGAGATATCAGACCAAAACGACTGTCTATTTATCTAGAGACATATCTGTGAACATCTGTGAAAAATCAATCTGTCCCCCTGGTAGAGGGTACCCCATTGCAAAGCAACATGAGCAACGTCATGGGCGACAATGTTTTTTCATCTTTACCCAAGTATTTTAAGTTACGAGGGGCCATGCCAGACATTTAAGCTGCTTAAACTGAACACAATTTAGTGAAAATCCCCGAGTAGTTAGAACGATCCAGCTAGTACAATAGGGTTACGGAAATGGTCCATATGACTGCTCCCCAGTGATATGGGATCTGAAATATGACCCCATCCCCAGTTGGCCATATCTTAAAAGATAACTTACTGGTTCAATGTTTATGGGAAACTATGTTACATACATGTACATCCCGATAATATGTTCTAGTGTGTATTAATTGTAAGGGAAAATGTTATACTACGGTATATATACATTCATACTCACATCTAAATAATATGCTCTTCCAAACAGGTTGTGTTTTGAGTGGAGCGCATGTAGCTCTACATGATCCCAATGATGTTGTTGATGAAAAAACTGCTGATGACGATAAACCCCCTCACTTTTACCATGCCATGCCATGATCAGGAGGAACTTATGAATCAGTTTTCAATACATTTATAGCTCTACCCTCAGAAAAACCACATTAATTATCAAGAGTAGAGTCTGCATATTCATGAAAAATTAAGTTGTATGGGTTTTTATGAGGGTAGTGTGTTATATGATGGTCTACGTACAGTATTTCAGAAATGAAACCTCAGCAGTTTATTATCACCAGGAAATTTCGGGGTGGAGTTGAAAGTAAGGGAATTATATATATTCTTCTATTTAAAAATTCTTGTCAACTCAAGTTAGTGCAAATGTGTTAACATTTGTAAGCAGTTAATGTAACTATTTTGATCCAAGACCACCTGAAGAATATATATTGTTAATGCATATACTGTAAGTAGTATCTGTCTTGCTATTTCTTACTCACTGAAAAGCAGGCCCAATATATACTCAGTCAATGGACTGATTTACAGATACATTTGCTAGTGTAATTTCTGGTATTAACATCAAAACTAAGAACTAGTGTTACTGAAAATCCAACATTTGTGAGCTCAGTATAATCTGTATGATTTGGATGTAGCTGGCTTTGTAAAGTCAACTTTAGGTCTTTACATGTGAAACATATATTATATACATATATTAAATAAACATACCTAAAATGAACGGACTATTTTGCTCTGGGTCTGTATCAAAAAAGTTTATGGCAGGTTGATGAAATCGGGTAAGTTTGTTCATTAAAGGGATAATAACTCTTTGTGTGAGGTCTATATTTCACAATAAAAACATTGTGAATAACTCATAGAAGTATAATATATTCTGTTTTACGACAAAAACAGCAGTAATAGCTATTATTCTGATATCTGAACTTGTCTTCAGACCACGTGACCTCCATTCATGGCTATACTCTGTTATAATCTCTTAAGAGATTTTAACAAAAAACCAAACTTTTTAGAAAAAAACCAGGGACTAACTTTGAATGTAAAAATGGATTCATTAACCATTGGTAAGTATGGGAAAATTGTTGTTTACTCCAGGAAAATTCATTTTTTGGCCAAAACGAAGAGTTATTATCCCTTTAACTTTATCCTCTCAACAAGTACAATGAAGCAGGGGTGAAGACCTGTGTGGCTTCTGATAGTGCTGGTAATGTCAGATGGTACCAATATTTTCAAATGCCACACACAGTACATCACTACTGGGTTGTATGCTTCCCAGCTGTACACTGGGCTGATTTCATTTATCAAGAGTATTGGACTATCAGCATAACCTGGATCTACCCTTAAAAGGGCCACTCCATGTGATTTTCTTGCCAAAATGAATTTTCCTGGGGTAAAGAGTAATTTTCTCTAACTCATGACTTATTGCTTGAACTATCTTAAAGTTTCCATTTCTAATTTAATACTTTAGTTTAAATGACTGGTCAGTCTAATAAACCATGTCTGCTGTCATGCTAATTACCTCATTTTCACACAAGACAATGGCAGGTTGTTTTGTATTGTGGCCATGTGATCTGTATAACATAGAGTTTGCAAGCTGGCAATGGATACACGCGGAAGATAATTACAGTACAACACAAGGTAAATTTCAGATAATTTTATTTTAATTTTAAAAGGTTATGTTGTCTTTGGAGTCTGAATTGGAAATACCAGAAGCTTTAAAGGATATATATAAATATGACTGAGGGGAATTTTCAAAGGCATGGACAGAACTTCTAATAATTCATTTTGGTGGGGAAATTCCCAAATGAAAATCATCAAATATTTGTCAAGCATCATGTGCCCCATCAAAATATGTACTGTAGGTACCTACATGCATATACATCTCTGATGTGTATTCAACTGATAACTGTCAAATAAAATGAACTTGGTTCAATTTAAACAATTTTTATATTCCAAAGGATTTATCTGATTCATAGTTTAATTCACCAATTTTGAGAGATATGATGGCTCAGAAGGTACATTTTTGTAACCATGTATTTACATGACCCAGCCTATATGGGTATAATTGTAACAATTAATAAACTAGTAAATTAAGTCACAATATATAAAGCTCAATCACATGCCATTACGATTAGCCATAAATTTATTTTGATAATTTTCATGTTTCATAAAAATCTAATTTGCTGAATGAACAAACTTGTAACATGATGCATTTCACTCTTGTAAATTGAACGTATATGAAGCTTTTTTTTTTTTTTTTTTTTTTTCATATTGACACATGAAGGTGACCATACACACACACACAGAGAGAGAGAGAGAGAGGATTCGAAAGGGTACAAGCATATGTTAACATACTGTATACACACCTGTGGCGACTGTTCTTGCGAGCCATAGTACACAACTTTGTTGACATCATTTTCGTTCAGTCCAATTTCCACATGGCCGGGGTCGTTCATTGTGACAATCTGTTGTTAATACAGCCCTCTTCAAAGTCTGCTAACTCTTACTATGTACACTGATTCCGGGCACTGATTTAGTTACCGTTAATCCCAGCTGCTGTGCTGCAGTGCAGCCTTGGTAGTTGGGTCAATGTCGAGTTGAAATGGACAAAATGCCTTGAGGGATTATACTTTGTATCCAAAATATTTCCTGCTCTGCTAATAAATGGCCCCATCAGTAATAATGTGAAACAGTTCCGCTTCAGACAACTAACAGCTGAGTAAACGAGTAGGGCCAGCTGAAATGTTGGCGGAAGTTTCAGTATTAATTTTTTCAAATTAAAATGCTCAGCATTTTTTTTCGACTTTAATAAATAANCCCCCCCCCCCCCCAAATAATATCCGGGTATTTCCAATATGGCAGCGCCCAAAATACACCCAATACACTGTTTGTGTAATCGTCTACTCGTTTAAATACAACGCGAATGCTAGAAGCAGATGGTTAAAGTGCTCAGGTTGCATTCTTTAACAAGTAGGTATTCCGGTAACAGGCGATGTGAAGTTAAATTGGCTTAAATAGCAATATTTTTGCAACCCTTGCCTCAAAACTGCTCATGCATGCTACTTCCTTAATTGAGTACGGTATCTTATGTATGACTGAGTTTCCATAAACCTACCGTACTAGCAGGATCAATCTAACTCTGAGGGCATTCTCGCTAAGTTGCATTCACTTTAAGCGGCTTAAATCTTTGTCACGCCCACTGAAGCTGATAGTGGGGTAATTAACTTTCGTGCACGCTTAAAGGTACATACGAACCGAGCATCGGTGGAGCGTGGATTCCCAGTAACACATGTAAACCACTTCTACTAGATTCTCATATGACTCAAATAAATTCAACATGCCAAGGGATTAACTGAATAGATCACTCGATCAGCCATAAAAGACCTTTAGACTGCTCCTTTCTTTAAATTTTTGGTTGTAAATTTAACCTACTTTCATGACCTACTTTCCTGCCCCATTGACATACAGTTTAGAATGCCAGCAGAAAAATCTGTTCAAACATCATTTTCGGGTAAAATTAAACAATGCCTTTTGGTAATTCTCTTAGTTATACTACTTGAAACTATATACTGGCATTTGGTTGGTTTTTGTGACAAAAAATTGACTTTGTATGCATCTTTAAGCAGAATGCAATTTAGGGAGAATCTCCTCGAAGATGGATCGATCCTGCTAGTACGATAGGGTTATGGGAATGACCCCTATGCTGTAGGCAATGCACCTCCAAACTTAAAAGTATTGGTAGGTATTTCAGAAAAATTTTCAAACTGATCAGAAAATTATAATACTTATATCATCTGAAAGGTAATGCAAAAACCGGATGAAGTCACTTGGAATTTTTTAAATATTCTTACAAGCAACAAAGATATTGAAGTATTTTAACTGCAAAAATTCACCAAAAGTGTCCACACTCTTCAGCTTAAAACCTGTCACTACTGACCAGCGGTGATCACTCAGCTGTAGCTGCAGCTCAAATTGCTTGTGACCAATTAGGGCAATTATGGCTGTATGTTAATCTAATGACCCAGAAACAAACCCAAATTGGTGACCGCACAAGCACATGGCTGGGATGGCTTCCGTGCAGATCATGTAGTATAAATATTGTGCATCAAATAAACTATACTTCGCATGGTTTAATTTTTCATGATTTTTCTACATAATATTGCAAATTTCATAAATTTTATTTGCTATAAATTTCAAAAAGCTGAAACCAGCACTTAACTGACATTTTTGAGCATTTTGTCGAGGTAAAACTTCAAACGCCCTGAACTGAAACTTCTCAAAGACTGCAACACGGGAAAATCACGTGATCGGATTTTACTCTTTCATTTACAGCTTATTTAGTTAATGGCTTGTATTAGTTTTTTTACGTGGCGCTAAAAGAGAGATTAAAAAAAGGGGTGCCATAGGCGAGCTGTCAGCAGGCCGATATCAGTTTTACACTTCACTGCCCCTGGATAGTTACTACTGTAGCGCCCCTAGCGGATTGTGATATACCTAGTATTGGGTTTTTAAGATNCAATGCACCTCCAAACTTAAAAGTATTGGTAGGTATTTCAGAAAAATTTTCAAACTGATCAGAAAATTATAATACTTATATCATCTGAAAGGTAATGCAAAAACCGGATGAAGTCACTTGGAATTTTTTAAATATTCTTACAAGCAACAAAGATATTGAAGTATTTTAACTGCAAAAATTCACCAAAAGTGTCCACACTCTTCAGCTTAAAACCTGTCACTACTGACCAGCGGTGATCACTCAGCTGTAGCTGCAGCTCAAATTGCTTGTGACCAATTAGGGCAATTATGGCTGTATGTTAATCTAATGACCCAGAAACAAACCCAAATTGGTGACCGCACAAGCACATGGCTGGGATGGCTTCCGTGCAGATCATGTAGTATAAATATTGTGCATCAAATAAACTATACTTCGCATGGTTTAATTTTTCATGATTTTTCTACATAATATTGCAAATTTCATAAATTTTATTTGCTATAAATTTCAAAAAGCTGAAACCAGCACTTAACTGACATTTTTGAGCATTTTGTCGAGGCAAAACTTCAAACGCCCTGAACTGAAACTTCTCAAAGACTGCAACACGGGAAAATCACGTGATCGGATTTTACTCTTTCATTTACAGCTTATTTAGTTAATGGCTTGTATTAGTTTTTTTACGCGGCGCTAAAAGAGAGATTAAAAAAAGGGGTGCCATAGGCGAGCTGTCAGCAGGCCGATATCAGTTTTACACTTCACTGCCCCTGGATAGTTACTACTGTAGCGCCCCTAGCGGATTGTGATATACCTAGTATTGGGTTTTTAAGATTTTTCTAAATTCCGTCATGTGCTGTTTTCACAGTGTATGTAATCTTTTATGGTGTATATTTTTTGGCAATTTTATTGAATTAGTTCTGAAATTTAAAATGACTGTCCACTTCCATCGTAGCTCAGTAGTTGGAAAACTATTCTCCTTTACAGATAACTTTTATTGAGTGCTAAATCAATGTAATTTTGGGTGCAGAATCCAAATAAGTTATTTTGATGCATGTTTAAAGAAACACTAGGATGTCATTTCCCATCATTTAGTGTCATTTTATATCATTTCAGTGTTTACAAATGATACATGAATATATGATACATGTAGATTGATTTTAACTGGCCTTTAACTAGGTATATCTTATCAAATTCCAGTCAAGCAAAGAAAAAACTTTAAAAAGATGGCAGAGTCTAAGGGAAAGCAACAGAACAAATCAAAGGACACCATTAGTCCAGGAATCAAGACGGATATACAAGAACTTATAGACAAGGAGGAACATGCACTGAGAAAGAGACTCCCTGTAAAATTACCAAAAAGGAAAAATGATATTTATGTACATCGCAAAACAGACTTCAAGGCACAGATGCTGAGGTGTCAAAAACTGCTTGACACAGGTTATAATATGATATTCATTCATGGCATTGGCATGGCAGTCAATAGAGCCATTAATCTTGCAATGCAGCTCAATGAATTGGAACATGGGACTCTGGAAATGGAGGTGAATACATCAACTGTTGAACTTTCCAGTGACCTTGAGGCAAATGTAGATGACCTTGACCCAGATTCACGTGGAGGAATTAACTCTGCTGTTCACATTAGATTGTTCAGGTTAAAGAAAACAGAATCAAGTCAAAAGCAGGCCACCCAATAGCTCATGCAATTATTGTATTTATTAAAATAAAAAAAGGAACATGCATGTTGTTTGTATTTGTCTTTGTTTTTTCCAAAGGTAGTTTTTTCCCCAGGGTATTTCATTATTGCCTAATGAAAATGTTTTATATATGAAGTCAAATAAATAACTCAACTGCTGTCTTCAGTTACAAATCACAAGTTCTTTATTCTATTTCAATCAGATAATTATGACAAATTGACAGTCAAAATAATTTTTCAGAATAACAAAGTTCCACTGAAAAACTGTTGAAGACAACCCTCACATACACTAAATGTATGCCAACATATCTTTTATTTTTGATTTCACTGAAGTGTGTGTGAACTTCAGGGGCAGATTTAGGCTGTCTTCTGGGTCTTCCCGAAGACCGTCAGAATTTAAAGTTTACATTGAAAGGTACTGTATCATTTTTTTTTTTTTTTTTTTTTTTTTTTTTTTTTACTGTTGTAAGATGGTCAAAAATGGAGGATGGTACCAAACATAATTTGGAAGACTGTCAGAAAATATCTCTGGATCTGCCCCTGAACTTGATGAACATACACTTTTACAATGACTCAGCTTTGTACCAAATAAACTTTATCATATTTCCAAGGCAATAATATAAAAGAAAAACAGTGCTTGGAGTTTCCTTCTTTTCAAGAACCTGCATTTACAATAAAGAATTATGGGGGATAATGAGAAATAATCTTACAGTAAACAAACATGCTGCATGTAGAGATGCACTTTACATGTAATGGGTTTATACAAATAGGCCTGGAGAGAAATGAATTGTGATGAAAAAAAACGACCAAGATTACAGACAGCCATTATTGTGTAAAAGATGTCAATAAATTGAAATACTTATCAACACCAAGGTAGTTATTTCGTGGTTCTGCTTCACCTATTCGTTGCATAGAGCAAAGTCGTTCATTGCATAGAGCAAAGTAAATGTGTCGGGTGCAACAGTAAAGTAGGCACTTGGTATGCTAGACAGCCGTACCATGTTTGTGCACAAATACTGAGTATTTAGGAAAACTACTTAAAACTAGAGGAACAGAGAGGCAATACCGCCTCTGGATATTGTACCACCAACTGGAGTAAGCGCATTAGTATGGAAAACATAAAAAAAAAAGGCAGCAAAGCTGTCAAATGTACAGACAAAAATAGAAAATAAAGATGCAGAAAATAGGTCAGTTTGTCAATTTTGATGCAATAATAAACTAGAGTTCTAGATCTTTTTATTGAAAATTACAATTTAAAACAAAATCTTGGGGAAGAGTAAAAGTTTAAATCCAAATTTGTGAAGTTCAAGAAGGTCAAAGGTCAATTTTAAGATCACAGTTAGATTGCCAGTATTTGACTTCCTATTCAAGTTGAATAGTAACTATGGGCATATCTCTGCTAGTTTTGGAGATATAACAGATAGAAAGGTTGCAAAGTTTTGCTCATGGTGAATAGTAGGTCTAAGGTCAATTTTAAGGTCACTGTTAAATTGTCAGTATGACTTCTTATTCAAGTTCAATAGTAACAATGGGCATACCTCTACAAGTTGTGGAAAATAAGGGACAGAAACCTTGCAAAATTCAGTTCATTGTGAAATGTAGGTCAAAGGTAAATTTGAAGGTCACAGATTGTCGTTATATTACTTCCCATTCAAGTTCAAAAGTAACTATGGGCCCATCTCTGCCAGTTTTGGAGATAAAAAGGACGGAAACCTTGCAATATTTAGTTCATGGTGAAAAGTAGGTCAAAGGTCAATTTGAAGGTCACAGTTAGATTGCCAGTATATGACTTCCTATTCAACTTCAACAGTGACTATGGACTTATCTCTGCCAGTTTATGATATATAAGGGACTTAAATGTTGTAAAGTTCATTTCATGGTGAAAAGTAGGTCAAAGGTCAATTTGAAGGTCACCGTTAAATTGCCAGTATATGACTTCCTATTCAACTTCAATAGTAACTATGGTCCTCTCTCTGCCAGTTTTGGAGATATAAGGGACTAAATGTTAGAAATTTGGTGTGCCATAAATTCCCAACAGAAGAAATTAATTAAAAGAAAGAAAGAGGTCATTTTGGTTGAAATTCTTGAAATGGGAGGTGCTCAGAAGTTCCAGATGTTCAAATTTCATGTTATGTCATTTTTGACCAGCAGTTGTCTGCCTCGCTAAGCCTCAAGTTATCTTTTCCAGAAGTTCAAATTTTTTATGCACATTACCATATTGCACATTTTACTTTCATCACTATGTATTTTTTGATACAGCAAAACTCGAAAACCGTATGGAAAACCAAAAAAAAAAAAACGGAGACCACTTTCAGTGCTGGGCTTGTCATGCTCTGCAATATGCAAAAAACAAGAGGTCTCTAGCTTTTACGGTTCCTGAATTAGAGACAGTCTTTATTTTTGGTATCTTATGGCTGCTTCTCCCGTGAAAATGCACCGATTGACCCCAAACTCACGGAGATGAAAGATGACCTGAAGGGTAACACCTGCCAATAATATTATAGGTTAGGTCTGTGTAGGTTCTGAATACCAGCGCAAAAGTTTTTTTTTTTTTTTTTGGGAAAAATTGTAGTCTAGGAGGAGAAGCGGTAACGGTAACATGGCGGCCCAGCCGGTGGAACGATCCGGTGACTAAAACCATGTGTACCGCCAGCGCTAACGCTGGTGGTACAATAATGTACATCAAAATATATTTTATATAAAAACACTGGCTTTTTGCAAGTGTCCAAGGCGGCTTGTTCACTTAAAAGGACACAAAAGAAGATTTTCGCGCCAAAATTGATTTATCCTGATTTATCCCGAGGTTAACACTACTTTTCCGCGATTTACCAACCTTTAATCTATCATTCCCGGCACTCGCCATCGCTCTGTAACATTTTTGGAAAATACAATTAAAAGAAAACCTCCGCTTAAGCGGAGGTTTACCAACAACCACCTCCATTTTCATCATTGAGCTCTCTAGACTTCCGGATCTCGCGAGATTCTCGTATTGCGACCTAGTCAAAACCAGTTCAAGTTGCCGGGAAAGGACAACGTGAAACAGGAGGCTCAGTTATGCTGGGAGTCCTTCGAAGAAGCGAAGACAGATAACAAAAAGGAAAAAGAAACAGCCTTTACAAAAAACATGCGTAAAACAGTGTATCAGCAAATGTACGACAGGCAAACAATAAACACCGGCGAGGAAGAAGGCAGATGAAAACCTGCTTGGGTGGCCATGGATACGAAGAATGGCCTGGCCGCGAAGTATTTACTGGATTTGTGAGTACCATTTACAATAATCTTTGAGATAAGACACCAGTGAAAATATTTATTAAGCACAGAGATTTATGTTTATTTACGTGTGTTCGTTGTATATCTTAACGATTGTCAGGCTCGTCTGTCAAAATATGCCATGAAATTGTAACTAATATGAGTGGTATCGATGACAGAAATTGCAAGTGTTGCTCATATGTCGACTCTGACAGGGTTTGGGTTAGTTTATAGAGCAAAGAAAGTTTAAATAAAAACGGACATGGTGGGAGATACTAGTCTCATTACATATACATTACAATGACCAGGGCGAATTTTT